TCGATAAGTATACATAATTATAGTATTTAAACTTATACATATAATTATAGTAATTGGAAAAAGACGAATGAAGCGTAACTTCTTCCTGCTATTTAATCTAAAATAGTTCTCTAACGTAAACAATGCACTTACCATTAATTATTCTATTTTATCAATTACTTTATTTTAAATCAATGCTCTAAGTAACATCTTATGCGATATCAAATCCATACTTTATCTTCCTCGTATTCAATAATAAAGAAGCCATTCCCGATAGTTAATTTGAGACAGGATAAATAAATCAGGCAATTTGTGACTGAACTATACTCGAATAACTTTATAAAGAGAATCTCGAATGGAGAAATGAAGCTTGACAGTTGTGCACGCAACTTTTCAATATACTATTCAATATATATATATACTATAAGGGTAAAAATCCAAATACGTACATGCAAATACTTTTACGTAGATATGCTATGTCAAGTATCTTAAACAAAACCTGAATTTGATATGTTCAATATGATAAAAATATTAAATCTTCTTATAGTATGCTAATTTTATTATATTTATTATATGTTAATAATATAAATAAATCTTAAAGATTAAAAAAAAAACTTTATAACTTCATTAACGTAATACAGAATAAGTATTTCTCTTATTGCACAAAAGTAAATACTTATATAATCTTATTATAAAGAATGATTTTATATTTATCGTCATTCAGCTTCGGAAAAACATTAATCCATTGACTTTCTATGATTAATATCAAATGTTAATATAATTCTTATCAATGCTTCAATTGTTGTTTAATGTAAATAAACGAAAATGGAATATTTTGTTGAATTATTACGTATTAAGTTTTATTTTTATTTAGTGTTTCAAATTGTATTTTTAAAAGAATTCAACATTTTTCTTTAATGGATGTACTTTAATACATTCAAGTGAGTGGCAGTCTAAAATTAATAGCTAAACGTTATAATCGACAATCGATTTAATCGCTCACATGCGAAAACAGGAACCCTGAGAAACACGCTTTACTCTAACTGTGTACACGTCGCAAAAATCGAACGATCTCTCATCTCACTTACTTTATCTCTTTATCTCTCTTTCACCTCTCTCGTTTTCACGTAAAGATGCTTTTCGGTCCATTATACCTCGATGGGGTCTTATTGATTCTTATTATGCACCGCGACATCCCGGAATAATTTATCTCCGTAGAATCCTTCGCTCTCCGGAGGCTCTTCTTCACTATTTGCCTTTCCGTCTTGTTCTTGCCTCTCTTTCTTCCTTTCTCCTTCATCCGCTCTCAATCTTTCTTCTCATAGTTTTCCCGTCCGCGTTTGTTCTTCACATTAAGACAGAATCGTGCGTTAAATTAAATTTGCACGATGCCGCACCATCGCGTTGTCTAAGTGAAAACGGATATAATATTGTGGTAAATTCATTTATTAGTCATTAATGAAAGAACTATTATTTTGTTGAATTTAAAGCTATTTACGTCGATTAATAATATTACTTTAGTATATAGTATTTTTAAGCTAAATAATAAAGAAATTTGTCGAATTCAGAATAAAAATTTTCAATCTATTTATAATCAATGTTACCAATTATCAACTTTATGATAAATAAATGTCAATTCACGAATTTGTGACTGATTTTTTAATTGCAGTATAATTTTAAATGAACTTTAATTATAAATACATAATTAGAATTAAATAGCCAGCTCTATCGCCTGTAAATTTCCTTCAAAAAGCAAATCCTGTTATATAACATCGTATTTGAATGAAACTGTCAACCTATCGATACTCTATTGCATTTATTTTGACTATTTGAAATAATAATATTAAATTAATGAACGTACCGAAAGTTAACGATTGTGTATTACACTTATACATTAATATAATTAAGTTTATCGCATACATTTTACATAATATCTAATTAATTATGTATTATGGAACATCGAACCAAGATAAAGAAGGCAGAAAAGATTAATATTTATTTTGCAATACGTCATAGAATTTAAATGCCTGGACACACATTTCACTAATATATATATATATATATATATATATATATATATATGTATATCATTATAAAGTAATATAAAAGTTTCCCTTAGCCAATTGAAGCATCGACATTAATTCGAATACAAATTCAGGCTCCATGCACTTAGCTCAAATTCTTCGTATCTTCCAATTACGGATTCTAAAGCTATTTCTGTCAAGCTCAATTAGACATAAATAAACGGGTATATCAATTGCATTTCTCCGTAATCGTCCCATCGACGTTGTCGTTGTCTGCAGTACTCGTATCATCAGTTCCATTGTGCCGTGATAAATCAGAGCGTTTACAATGCCTTCTGGGCATAGCCGGTAATCGACGAGACTTCATAGGGGACGTCGAGGAGGAGTAGAAGGAAATTGGTGGTAGTTAGTGCAGACTAAACTGTTCTCGTGCACGATTAACAAAATCGCTTATTATTGTAAGGAAGCTCGCCGATTTTCTTGTAACTTTTCTCCATGTGCGTGAACTAAGCCAAATTCATCTACGTTTAGATTTTACTTACTAGGCATAAGATGCAATTAGTGTGTGAAAAATAAGGAGAAAATAACGGTATTAAATTTTCTATTAAACCATACATAAGGGCTTGTTAATATCATTTTCATGAGTATTTCACTGCTAATATCGCAGAATTTACTATATTTGTAAGGTATTCCATTCATTTACTTATTTAAATAGATACCTTATCGTAAGTAGAATTTATCTTATAAAATAATTAAAGTATCGACTGATTCATTAAGTCATATACAAAGTAATTGTAATTCAATAAGTTGTAGAAATTTTCAATATCATTAAGCCTCGCTATATATAATAAGCTATATGTTTATACATTCGATTATCATATGGTTAGAAAGTTAAATTACATTATTTCCTTGACGCGCAAGTGAAAGAAAAAGTAATGTCTTTGCAATGGTCGGATAACCTATTTTGAACGTGTAATAAACGGCATTCATAGATACAGAGTTCAGTTCCTAAATTCAAGTTGAAATTCATTCAATGGCAACAAATTAAGTTCTAGATTAATTAGTATTTAAATTCATTCTATTGGATTTTCCTACAAATCTTTGTTTCTACTGTAACTCACTTTATATTGGCAGCTCAATCGACATCCCATTTTCATTTTAAATTAATTTTTTTTATTCATTGTCAATATATTATAGAATAGCCATTAGCTTGTGTGCAATTTTAATTCCACTATAACATATTAGTCTTCAAATTTGCATTTTATTGCCTAATTTTAGAAGTACAAAATTTTCATAAAACATAATAAACGAGAATAGATTAAAAGGTATTAAATAATAAAGGGGGAAAAAAATTTAACTCAAACGAAAAATTTCAAAAAAATTTCATTAAAATTTCCAACTATTTAAAAATGTCAAAGCAAATTATAAAAACAGCATTAATGAAGTATCTGTACGCATTTAAAATCAAACGCAATAACATTGTTTGGAAAACAAAATTTATTCTTCATGACTATTATTAAAACTGTCTAGTATTATTTTAATTAAATTCTTGTACAATAAGTATTAAATTAAATTTATAATTTCATAGAGTTGTACAAATATTTGCTATTTCATATAAAAATTAATTTTAAGTGGGTCATAATGTATACTTGGATTTTCCGGGAAATATATTTCAAACTATTCTCAGAAGATTAACAAAATATATAAAACAGCACTCTAAGCAAATGAAAATTAAAAAGCCGTAGAGACGCTTCTCATGAACGATCGTAGCCAATCTTATGAGCATTCCATTTTTCGGGAAATAACAACCGCGGCAACAACAACAACAACAGAAGCTCATCTTAATTTCTGGCTTTCTCAAGCGATACTCAGACGTCATGAGTTTTCGCCTCTCGCCTGAAAAGCATTCACCCCCGCACTCTCGAACTCAATCTAAATCTAGTTGCACGGGTATACAAATGTATTATTCAGTACTCGATTTGCATTTTAAAGGAAGCGAGTTTACGCGAGCGAACGAGGGATTGTAAATAACGCGAAGAGAAGGAGCGAGAGAGCCGGGAGATAAAAGAAGATAGAAATAGAGCGACAGAGTTAAATATACGAGGAGCGCGCGTCTCTGCCTAAAAGTAAGGAGCGGCTTGGCGGGTTTTACGATTGAGCCTTACGCGGTGCTTGATTTATACACCTTTTCCAGTACCCTCCTCCACATGCCGAGACCTCCACACCATTACGATACTGCCGCGAGTTATAGATCGAAACGTTATAAGCTAATAGAAAAATTTGAGTCCGTTCATTTTGCTCGCTCACCAGGGCGATTACACATACGCTCACTGATATTTACGAGACGATTCGAAAACCTATCCCAAGTTCGTTGGAGTGCAGCCTGTAATGTATATTGCAAGAGGTTCGGTAGCCGTGAGGTGTGAGCTGAATTTTCAAGCGAAGAGGTGTTAACGTTGATGTGTAATCTGCGTTCAGCCAGTCGACGTAAATTATTAGTTATTACAGTGATATTAGCATGAGGCATTAGGAAGCTATCGCCTCATTATTCCAAAGGCTTTTTTCTCTCGTCGAATTAATGAATCATAATTTACAAATAAAATCAAGCTCTGTTTTTATTAATTACACAGAAAATCAAGAATGAAATAAATTTTTTATGATTTTTTATTATGAAATTCTAATCCTATTATATTTATTTATCGTTACATTCTGATTGTTCGAGAAAAAATTTTTTTATGTTATGTATTTAAAATCAAGTACGTATATTGACTTAAATGGCTTTATTTGCCATAATATATAGATATATATATATATATATAAGTGTGCGTGTAAAATATAGTTATTTCCATACAGATGCTAATAAATATAATATATGGTTTATCGAACTCGCATAGTGAATTCCATTATTACAAAGCCACTACAACGTTATCTTTGTTATAAAAGTCTGAAACTTTTAAATAATCAAATTAATACTCTTAAAAATAAAGTAGTACTTACTCGGAGTAGATCAAGCTTCACACGCAAATATTCCGCACGGCAAGCAACGTCGAAACCTGCTACGGGAAACGAGCCCATGTACTATAACAAAAAGTTTTATGAGTGCATGTAATAAGATATAGATGCCTCGAATAAAACATAACAAATTTACTTATGTAAACATTTTCTAAATTGATGTATAAAAAACGAATAAAAATGTATGCGTTGTGATATATGTAGATAGGCATGTATAATAAAAATTTATTCTAACTGTGGGTAGGGGGGGGGGGCATTGTTAATATGAAAAAAATAACAAAAAAATCATTGCGATTTATTGATATTGCTATTGTATGTTTTAATAATGGTAGTAAAGGAATGCAAAGAGAGAAAATTGCATAAGGACAAGCTCATCTGCCTAAATTACTACTGGCCTGTATTAACCGTTGTTACTTTTGCCTTACACTCATATAAATATAATTTCATAATCTCTAGACCTCATGAACATATTCACGCGTATCATCTTCCATATATGTACATAAAGGAAAATTGGACACAAGGTCGTGCGCGCACCCATGTTATAATACTACAATATACTATATCTCTAGTGCAATGCCATAATAATTTCAAATTCTTCCACTTTGTAACATTAACTTTTAGCTTAAAAAATTCTATTATGCTTCTTTTTTTTTCTTGAAGATTAATAATTACATTTTTATTTTTTAAATCGGTTTTGCTATTATTTTTCTTATTTTATAAATTTGATGTTACATAAACTTATCAATCATTAAATATAAGTATAACTGACGTTATTAAACACATTTGGATAAATACATTTAGAATAATTCTACATTCCGTATATATAACATATGAATAATTTATTTATTATTTATTATTCAATTAATTATGATTCTATTGGATGAAAAATCTTCAATTTCAATTATATGTTATTCTCGTGCGAATATGGATTACAAATTCATTTAGCACATTGTAATGTTATTTAAATTGGGATGCATTTATTCAATTACCGTAATAAATACTCATGCGTTAAAACGAAACAGAAATTGCATGCGATTTATTAAGTAATATACGAAAATTATTGCCTAATGCTGAAGAAAAATATGAAATATCGTTTTATTCAAGTACATAAGTATTGATTAAAATTACGTAGTTGTTTTTGCACGTCAATACCCGTTTACGCATACTTATAATAATTGTTTTCTCTTCTCTTTTTTTTTTTATTTTTCTTTGCATTTTATTGATATTATTAATTTAACTAACACTAAATATAACTTAAAATACATCAACTTATTTTGTTTAAAAAAAAAAAAAAAAAAAAAAGAAAAACTGAAAATTGTTAATAGTATATATAATTAATATACATTATTATAATTTTATCTATTTAAATGTGTAGTTATTGTTATCTATATGTACAAAGGCGTATCTAAAAATACACATCCAACGATATATCAAAATTTTATCCGAATAACTGCCGAACCGAAGCGGATTGCAAAAAAACACTAGAATAATCGATTATTGGCATTGAATCCACCCAATTATAACAATATCATCCAATCTCAATAATTCACCATTCTTGTAAAGGTGATAATTTATAAAATTTGGCGCAAACTTGAATATAACATTTTACTCGTCGACTGGCCCAAGCTCCGAGAGTCGCGGCAATCGGCTTCGGGTCAAACCCGCGCCGAAAAAGTACCAAATCGCATTATTCCCGTATCGAGCGAGAGTATCGACATCAACAGAGGCGGCAAGAATTTCCAACGCACGTACGACTCGTAAAAAAGTTGCGGCCATATATTTTTACTGGTCGAAAAAACGGGAATACACGCGCCGTCGCCTGAAAACGAGAACGAAGAAAAGCATCGGATCGTACATTATTGCTGGACTGGAGCCGCAGCCGCGCAAACAATCGTCCTCGCGCTCTCCGCCCCTACATGTGTAAGCGCCCATAGCTCCACGTACATACGCGCTGCCCCAACAGTTATTGACTCCGTCGTATATCAAGAGTAGGGGGCCTATGTGGAGAGCCGATCGGCTCTTTACGAGTTGTGACTAGACGTGAATTCGAATACCACGTGGCCTGTGTATGTCGGGAGCGGGGGACTCTCAGGTGCGTTTGGCCTTGCAGTCTGGCCAATATTACGGCCGTAGGGAGGCTGGCCGTAGTTACCTCTCTGCGTTCAAGGGGTTTGCGAGTGTCCCAGTGAGGATTAGAGCTTGATAAGCTGTCGATGACTCGATCGCTGTTTCCTGGAGGCTCCCTACCACTAAACTCATTTTGTTTATGTTTTTGCTTAGATCGATGCCTTTCGTCAACCTTTTTGTGAATCTGTGAAATTATCGTTTGCTGCTAGTTGGACGAAGTTTTTGGGTGAGTAGTTGCAGCTCGATCCTCGACGAGCGCACAACCATGCTAGTGTAATTTTAACTTTGAAATATTTGACGTATTGGGATTTTAAAATATTTTAAACAGATGCACGACAATGTACAACAATAATTGAAACACGTCGAATATTCTTTATTTAATGAATCTTATTTGAAGCTTACGATTATCAATATCACTATGTGTGATGATTATTCGCTTTCTA